CTCGAGACATGTTCTATGAGTATGTTCACTGAACTTCTTCCACTAATGCTGGTCTTTTCTAATGTGTCTCAGCGTATTCTATTGTTAATTGCCTTTAGCTTGTTATGGTTTATTTGAAATTCCAGTCTATGGTTCATAGAATGAATGACATAACGAGTCCCTTTTCTTCTATATATTAGTATATATATATATTATGAAAAACTTTTCTGTATCTTAGCATTTTCAATATCAATCTTTCTTGAAATTCAAGTGTCATATACCGTACATAGCAGAGTTTAACCCTTAGCTCACCAAACAATAAACAAGTAAACGTTGTAGTTTAACTTTATATGATAAAAATATGGAATTGGAGATCGAAATGTGGGTTTATAGAAGTGTATTTGCCACAGATGAAAAATTTATTACTTTAATACGTTGTTAATATCATACATGCAGTGGCAATCCAAAAGAAGAACAGGGTGCAATCGTTTGCAGAGTTGCTCAATCTTTTCTGCGTTTTGGGTCATATCAAATACATGCCTCCCGAGGTAGTAATCAGGACCTGGAAATTGTTCGTGGTTTGGCAGACTATGCTATTAAGCACCACTTTCCTCATATTGAGAACATGAGTAAGAGTGAAAGCTTATCTTTCAGCACCGGTGATGAAGACGTTGTGGATCTTACATCAAACAAGTATGCAGGTAAAATAATTCTTTTAGGAGGGGTTACTTTTTAACCTCAAAATTTATGTTGAGCGACTAAATAGCCACTAAACATTGTTACTCAGTTTGAAGCTTGATATCTGAATTTTGAGTGGTTATTCACTTATTTGACCCTCTTCAGCTTAAATATTAGTCAGCCTAATGCCCTAATTTTCTCATCCGTTCTATTCTGTGTAAATTGATTACATGAATTCAAACAAGTATTTGAAACATGGGGACCATGTAATCCCAAACTAAAAAATCAGCTGACATATTAAGAGCCCAAATAACTTACAAATAAAGAAAAAACTTACAAGGCTAATTCCCTTACGTAGACAATGGTATTACTAATACCCAATGTTTTAAATGACGGATTGCCAGTTTATGGCGGAAGGACAAAATTCTGCCACATAAATGGGGGGTTGCAACCTGTGGTGCCGCCATGGCGGGTGATGCTTCATAAATTGTCTATGGTGGTTGACACAAAATGTGCAACACCATTCCGTCACAACGACTATTTAACAACAGTGGTAGTGCCTGATTTTGAGAACCTAATTAGAGATTAGTAACAACTGTAGGATGGAAGATATGGAATCTGTTGGACTTTCTGCCTTAATTGCGGTCCGCCCTTAGTCGCCTTAATTGCGACACTTTGGCTTGCCTTCATTGCAGCCCTTAACACCTTCATTGTGTTAGCTTTGAAGGGGTGGATTTAGTCCCGCATTGCTTAGAGATATGGCCTGTGTTGTGTTTATAAGTGGGGGCAATCCTCACCCTACTAGCCGGTTTTGTAGGGATGAGTTAGGCCCAACCCAAATTCTGAGAGAATCCATGAAGTTAATTCTAATTCTACCTGATTGCGTATAAGCATAAATGTTCTAATTGTAAGGAAATATGATGTTACAGTTTGGTCCAACACACAAACTAGTGAAACTTTTTTTTATCTTGGAGTAGTCAAGCCGATGTTTTCTGGATTTGACTGATGTATATATTATGACATGATAACAAATTTTGTATAAAACTACTGTATGGGAGGCATGACTGTGATCTTCTGCTTATATTGTTTGGTATCTATTTCTGGGGTTTCATCTCCTGTTTTTGTAGTTAGTGCTAAGGCTATACAGGTTGCTCCTTTAATAACTCCGAAGACGGATTTTTTATTACTAAGAAGATGATTCTGCTATCTACCTTACGAACCACGACATTCAGTTAGTTTTCATGCCTAAGACTTCTAAGCAGTAGTCTAGGCCCTACTAAAAAGCTTCATCTCTGCCAGTTGCAGCTGGGGGTATATAAAGAGACGGAATACAGCATCTAAAACATGGAGACTGAGAAATTATTGTGTTAAGACTTTAGAATGAACATGTTTACCTTTATATAGGAGGAACTGGGGAGGCATTGTTCCCCCCTTGCTGCATGGTGGTGCAGATAACACCCATAATCATCTGTCATGGTTAGGGAGAGAAATTTCTTTATAACACTAAGTCCATCTTATTTTGACAGTTGTCCAAGTGTATATTTGCATTAGGTCCAGTCAATTAAGTTGGCCAGTTCAGTTATTCTTGGTGTTGGATGTGGTTCAAGCAATAGGGTTGGTCCGCTGGCAAGGTGTTGGGCTTGGCCTAGTAGGTCCAGTTAATTTTTTCTATAAATTGCTTTCCAGCACTTTTTGAAAGCAGTGAATGAGGGGTTGTGTTAAGTGAAAATCTTGTGTATGATTTTGCGTCTTATGTAGTTACGCATGCTTACTTGCTGAAATACACTTAACCTCTGGATTATAACTAATACAATGAAACCAAATTTTTTACTAGTCACATTATTCTATTATCTTATTTTTTATGGGCTTATTGAGTTGCTTTTCTAAATTTTATTTCAACTATAACTACAATGCTTACCATAAATCCTTTGTTCTTTTTAATGGTATTCTATATCAGCATGGGTGGTGGAGGTTGCTGAGCGTACTGCTACCATGATTGCTAGATGGCAGGGTGTTGGTTTTACTCATGGTGTGATGAACACGGATAACATGAGCATTTTGGGTCTTACTATTGATTATGGTCCATTTGGGTTTTTGGATGCCTTTGACCCTAAATTTACCCCAAATACCACAGATCTTCCGGGTAGAAGGTACTGTTTTGCAAACCAGCCTGACATTGGTTTATGGAATCTTGCACAGTTTACAACAACACTGGCAGCGGCTCATTTAATAAATGACAAAGAGGCTAACTATGCTTTGGAAAGGTAATAGTAATTTTTCGATTAGACTCTCTCCCCAACCTCCCTTATAGGAGAAAATTTCACATTATTGTTGGTATGTTTTAGATATGGATCAAGATTTATGGATGATTATCAAGACATAATGACCAAAAAGCTCGGCCTCCCAAAGTATAATAAGGTGCTGATTGGAAAACTTCTTACTAACATGGCTGTCGACAAAGTTGATTATACAAACTTCTTCCGTACACTCTCAAATATTAAAGCAGACACAAGTATTCCAGATGAAGAAATGTTAGTGCCACTAAAGTCAGTTTTGTTAGATATTGGTAAAGAGCGTAAAGAAGCATGGACAAGTTGGTTGAAAACCTATATACACGAGGTATAATTGTTTGTGTTTTTCTCAGGATATGCACAACCTTTCTTAGCAAATCTTTTGCCATCCTTAAAACTTATGTCAACTCTGGTTTTGGTTTGGCTATGTATATTTATGAAGAACCCATGGGAATGGGTCGTTTTTAGGTGCTTGTATCCATGTGCTAGTCATTTCTATTTATTCTTTGGCACATAAGTCATAATATGTACTACCTGCATCACATAGTTTGACTTTTGAGTTTTGATAAGGTTCCATTTAAATTAAACTCGCCCTTGTAGAATTTTCAAGAGGCATAATCTTGGATCAATGCTGGTAAAGTTTTTTTTTTTGGGTTCATTTATCTTGGTTTAACCAGCAGTTTTCAAAATGCATACTATCATTGGAACATTTCAATTCAGATCACAGATGAAGGCTTTGTCTTTGAGTATTATTGGGCTTTCCAAGTAGTGTCATGGATATGTCTACCTTGTGAAATTTCGCTCATCTTATCCATGTGATATAATCAGTGTCTGTACTTTTACCTTGTCACAAGTTCTTGATTGATACGATGCCGACTTTCTTGTTGCAGTGATAATTTATGCAATTAAATCAATTGAGGAAGATGGTTTGTACTTTTGATATCTCTGAATATTGCCTTGGGTTTATGCAGCTCTCTACCAGTGGCACGACTGATGATGAGAGGAAGACCTCGATGAATACGGTAAACCCTAAATATATTCTCAGGAACTATCTATGCCAGACTGCAATTGATGCTGCAGAAATTGGTGATCTTGGAGAAGTTCGTAGGCTACTCAAATTAGTGGAAAACCCGTTTGATGAGCAGCCAGGAATGGAGAAGTATGCTCGCTTACCTCCAGCATGGGCATATCGACCAGGTGTATGCATGCTTTCTTGTTCCTCATGAGTTGCCTGCATCGGCAGGCGCATTCCAAATAGCAGAAATAGGAGAGAAGAATTTAAAAAAGTTGATAACACAACTAGGAATTTAAGAAAAGAAAAGAAAAAGATAGTGTGTATTTGTATTGTACTAGTATACCATCTCCGGATAGACACAAAATTGAATGTACTTTATAAGTTATAAGTTATGTTACAATTATTCTTTTTTCTTTAAAAAATTATTTGTTCTCTTGTTTTTCTTTTCAACCATGAGTGAACTTCTATGCATGAATTCTAATATTAGTTTGACTTACCCTTCTTCCTCACGCCACAAGAAGGGAAGTTGTAGTCTCTCCATTGAGAAAAAGTGAGCAAGTGAGCTTTGAGTAGAAAGCAAGCAAAAAAAACCAGACTTTTCCAAAGGGCGAAGTAAGCATATATACCACCATGAAATTAGTTCATGTAAACACAAAAGGATATTTGTTTAGACGGTGCACTAATTTCCATAAAATACACATTTATGAGACTTTTTCTGTACTTTTATCATTCCTTCATGCACACAATACATCTCCAACCAAATATAGCAGTCACCCAAAGAATCAATCTTTATCCCAAACAGAACCCCTTGTCTACTCTTCCCCAAAGTATCAATCTTTATCTCAAACAGAACCATTTGTCTACTCTTCTCCCTTTACTCTTGGCAATTCTAGGGGTTGCCAAGTTGCTTGTATATAAAAACCTCCCAGTGTTCCACCTTTAGGTTTTTCAGGACAAAGAAATTGTTGTGCATTAGTGAGTGAGCCAAAGGTACAATCCAAATCCTTGTGTAACTGGTGGCATTGCAGTAACAGAAAATGCAAACAAGCAGAGGAAGAATGAATACTGTGATACTTCTTTTCTGCCTGACTTTAGCTACTATTCCTCTCACTCATTGTGGTAAGCCAAACTAAAATTTCTTGCCAAAATCAATGATCTTGCATACATGAGCTATATATGGAAGTTGTTTACATATCATATCTAGATGCATATCTATAACTTGTGTGTGTGTGTAAGTTCACAGTTCAGAAGCCTCTTTACTTTCCACTTTGCAGATGCAGATATGTCAATAAGAATATGGAAATCCCCTAAACACACAAGAAATGTGATCAACAAGAACTCAAAGAAGTTGAAAACAATCAAACATTTCGATTTTAATCCATCTATGTATTCATCAAATGCACAGCCCTATAGTATCAACTCTCCATTATCTTTGCCTCCTTATGAATCACTAGGTCCAGAAAATAGCACTCCATATTGTGTATATCCACCACCAAGTACTTCTACCACTATTCCGACCCCCACTGGTTCTCAACCTACCCTACCATCACCTCCTTACTCTTACACCTCACCTTATCTTCCAGCCCCAACAGCCATTACACCAAGCCCACCAGAAAATCTTCCAACACCAACACCTGAAATTGTTCCAAGCCCACCAGAAAATTTTCCCACACCAACACCTGAGATTGTTCCAAGTCCACTCAGTAACATACCAGGCTCACCAGAGCCTGTATTGAATCCTCCCGTCATTTTTCCAGGCCCGCCCGAGTCATCGACGAGTCCACCTTATTTTGAGCCTGCCCCGCCATACTACGAGCCCACACCAACACCATTTATTCCTTCCCCTACTGGGGGCAGTGGCACCATCCCAAGCCCGTCAGGTGCATTTCCATCTCCTAGTGGAGGCACTATCCCAAGCCCATCAGGTGCATTTCCATCTCCTAGTGGAGGCAGTGGAGGCACTATCCCAAGCCCATCAAGTACATTTCCATCTCCTAGTGGAGGCAGTGGAGGCACTATCCCAAGCCCAACAGTATTTCAGCCACCTGTAGTCTACCCACCTCCAAGTGTGCCGCCGCGAGCCAAAGCTGCCCCGCAGGCCGCATTGTGGTGTGTGGCTAAGGCTTCAGTTCCCGACCCAATCATCGAAGAGGCGATGAATTATGCTTGTTGGTCAGGAGCAGATTGCACATCGATTCAGCCCAACGGACCTTGCTTTCAGCCCGACAGCGTATTTGCACATGCTTCATATGCCTTCAATAGTTACTGGCAAAGGACTAAAGCTTCTGGTGGCACTTGTGAGTTTGGAGGGACAGCAGTATTGGTTTCAGTTGACCCTAGTGAGTTCTATGATCATAAAAAACAGTTTTTTTTGCCAAATAAACTCATAATTGAGACTAATGCTGCTTTTTGCTTCTCAACAGGCTTTGATGGATGCCACTTCATCTACAACTGATCAAAGTAATGTTCTTCCTTTCTTTAGAACAAAGTCACTTATAAAACCAACCAATGTTTGAAGAGTGAAGACAATCTTTCTTGTGGAAATATGTTATCTGAGGGACACAAGCAGATTTAGATTTTGTATGGTGTAGGTAGTGTAGAATAATCACAAATGTTGACTTAACCTTTTGTTCTTCTCTAGCAAATACGCTTAATATGTAAAAAAAAAAAGTGATGATAAAAAGATGGATTGCTATATAATTCCTTACATTGTGTTTCATATTTATGCAATCTGAGTAACACATTCATGTTTTTAGCTCTCTCTAGAGATGAAACATAAATCAAAACATCATATTATTGACATTCTTCATAGGAAGGAGTTTGGACCAAATGGTTTTGAACCTTCAAACCTCAATCCTTAAACTTTTACAAAAACCAAGTCTCGTGATCGTATTATTGACCTTAACACCACTACATATAATTTTTTTTGGGGGGGTTGATGACGATTTTCTTCTTCTACTGGGAAATTGAGATGTTAAGCAAGTTTAATTTTATAATTTTAAGATATTAATTTTAAATTTCTTTATGATTATAAATATTTTTTAATTAATGAATTATTTAATAAAGAGTACCAATAAATTAAATAGTACAATTTTCTATATCTCTTCCGTTTTGAACAAATTAAAGATGTTAGATCAAGCATAGTCCCATTTCATTAGGGGCACCACTGCATCAACTATTTGCTTATAGAAAAATTTATTTGTCAAAAGCTTAAGAGTTCTCTTTTTAATGTTTTTAAAGAAAAAGTTTAATGATAAATATTGGCAAATCAAATTATATGAGATTGCACATTTATTTATTCGTAACAGTTATTATTTTAATTAGCATAATTAGTTAATTATTAGAAAATCAAATTGTATGAGATTGTACATTTATTTGTAATGATATTCTTTTAATTAGTATAACTAGTTGTAAATAGTACATATACCAGCGTAGCTAATTTAGTGGGTTGAAAGACAATTTGACTTTTAGTAATTTAGTGGATTGAAAGTCACCTTCTCATTTTCTCTCTCTTCTGCTTCTCGATTATTTGTTTCGAAACAGTTTAACCCCTCATTCTTGTTCGATTTCTATTTTTGTAGTTCCCATAGCTACCGAAAAGTAATTAACTTGGACATTCCATTTTGAGATATTTGTCACATAAAAATATTTGTGGGGTCATTGTCGATGACATCACTTCAGTCCATGACCAAGACAAAGATAAGGTTCTATATGACAAATGAGTAGTAAAAAATGCTCAAATTATGTCTTGAGTCCTGGGTTCTGATGATTTCAATATTATCATGAATCTTCGACCTTAAAAAACAGTAGTCACAGTGTTGAATTACTTAAAGAAAGTCTACAATTAGAACAACACCACTTTAAGATTCCATCTTGAACAAAACATTACTTTTTTTTTTTTTAAATAAGATATTCTCTCAATCTTTTATTTTACTCACAATTCATGAAGACTTCGATCTGGACGAGAAATGCAAACAATCAAGAAGAACATTTAGATCTAGAAAACTTCAATTATAATATCACTCAGCTGCCATCAACTGAAGACTTGCTCAAATTCATAACATCGTGACTTATTCCTGAATGATGATTTTGATATAGAATAATCTCACTTATGTGTCTTATTTTCTCTTAGAGCATGTTTGCTTTTTCATTTTTCTCATTATTTCAAATTCAACAATTGTCCGCTTTCTATATTTTGAATTTCTGCAAATTTGAATTAATAAAAGTGTTATGTTTTTCCTTTCCTAAATTCTATTGTGCCTATGTTTCAATATTTAAATTCTCGCAATGCATCTTTATTCGTCTTTTTGATTTTGACAAAGGAGGAGAAGGACACTCTTAGGAGAGTAGAATATACTCTATTTAACCGAGGGGGAGTTTAATCACTCCAAATATATTTGTCAGTCACTAGGGGTGTAGTCGGATCGATTTTTGAACCAGTTTTTGGTCAAAAAAAGATTCGAACCGATAATATTTTCATCGGTTTGATTTGGTTCGGTTTTTAAGATTTTTCAAAAATAGAACTGAAACAAAATAACCGGTTTGGTTCGGTTGATCGATTTACAATGTTTTTTCAAACATTATATTCATCATAATATTCTCTACTATCATGTATTTTAGTGTATTTTATGCTATTATTTTTTAAAATAATATATTTCATGTAATTTATTTTATGCTCTATTTTTTCAAACAAATTACAAGTTGCTCTTAATCCATATGAAACAATAGATTTCTATTGCATCATGAAATAAGTTCAATATCAAATATAAAAGTTAACACTTGGCATCATAATATTGAAAAGGATTTGAAAACTTAACAAATAGAACACAATAAAACCCATATCAATTAATATGTTTCACACACCCTAAACACACATCAAAACTATTTTGTAAAAAGACTAGAAGAAATTTTGTTGAAGAAGAAGAAACAAAAAAGGTATAAAAATGAAAATTAACGAAGAAAACTTGAATACAAAGCAGACGACCATAACATATCAGAATGACGGTAGTTAGAGCAACAATGGTGGCGGGCAGCGAAAACAGTAGTTTAGTGAAAGCAAGTTTTTTTTGTGACTTATGGTTTCTATTTTCTATATTTTGGAGTTTGGTTCTACAAGTGCGTTTTACTAAAAGGAAGAAAGTGTAAATAAAGATGGAGAATGGTTGGACCGATAAAAAATTGAACTTAATGATCGGTGAAATAAAATATTTAGAGCGTAATTATTTCTATTGGTTTGGTCCATCGGTTTGGCGGTTCCTAAAAATTAAAATCGAGAATCAAACCAAACCAAATTGGTTTTTATTGATTCGGTTCAGTTTTAAAATTGAACCAAAAACAATCAGTTTTATTTTGGATTGATTTGGTTTGAATTTTCTATTTAATTGGATTTTTCTTATCTGCTTACACCTCTATTAGTCGTCTACTTGAGAGATGCGTTGTGATCATCAAAAAGAGGAAAAATGTGACATCATATTTTAGAGGTCATGTAATCAAGGAAGCCCTCGATAACATGATGGATATGCTTTTGATGATGACAACTAAATGCAAATATAACAAGCAGTCAAAGATGCAAGTAGACAAAGTAGGATTTTGTCGATCACTACAAACATTCTCTGATGATGGCACTCAACTAGAATAAAACTCAAGTCTCATCCTTAAGAAGAATTAAATCAAGTGATTATATGATTTACTTACTTGACATGTCTTTAAAGAGAGGAAGTGTGAACGTTTGCCATATCGTATCTAAGTGAATAATATATTGTAAAAGCACAAGGGATTTTTGTAAAATTATCCGACTAAATTACACGCGCACACACTAAAACATATTTTCAAGCCTATTTTTCTTAAAGGGTTATCTGAATGTTTTTGGACAAAACTTATACGGTCTAATCAATTGATACTTATACCCAATCGATTATTTTAGTGAAAAAAATCCGTCCTCAAACATTTAGAGCAATATCTTAATGAATGACAATGACTATATATCATTTCCTTCCTTTTAAGACAACATAAATGTTTATTTTGAGGCCTTCCAATCAGTTGGTACATGATGCCAATTGATTGACACGTTAAATTTGGCCTAAGAAATTTTTTATTTTTTGTGGCAACCTCTAGCCTATAAATAGATGTATTTCCCTTCAAATTTTTATACTAGAAACGTGAGCATTCATATCTCGTTCCTTTCTCTCTCTCTAAAAATTTAATTTCTTTACTTCTCTTAGTTGAATTTAGCTGCAACGCTTCGAGAAAGTTCTTCTGTTTAGTGAGGTGTCTTTTGTAATTTTGGAAAGGGTAGTATTATAAATTCACCAATGAGTATTTTCTCTTGGTTTAATATTTTATCCATAAAGGGATTGTTTGTTTGGGTTAAAAGCTAAACCCGTTAAAAGCTTTGGTTTGAGGATTTAGATTCTAAGTCTTCATTTTGTTTCGTAAAAACCTTAGTTCGGTCAAAATCTTTGTTTGATTTGAGATAAGCCTGGTTTAAAATCTCAGTGGTTCGTGGTTATCCTGGTAAAAACCTCGGTTCGATTTGTAAGTTCATCCTGGTTTAAAAGCTCGCCTTGGTTTGAGATAAGCATGTGGAAAATCTTGATTTGGATTGGGGACTAGCCGCTTCAATTTGTTATTTGGAAAGAATACAAACCGCTTTAATCCATTGTTTGGAAGGAAGACTAACTATTTCTCTCTGGTGTTTTCTGTTTGGTTAGAAGTTATTATGAAATTTCATTTTTCCTAGTATAAGGGGGTTCAAGAGTTCAACATACTAAAAGCTCTTAAAGAATTATTGGATACTCTCAAGATCAAATTTTTAGGAGAGGATTGGGTCACTTCGTTTCGATCGAACCTCTATAATTCCTAGTGTTATATCTTTTACTCGTAACTCTTTATTTTCTGCTTATTTATCTTTATGCTACTAATTTATTAAAACATTTTTCAAAATACTTTTAAAATCTGAAAATAATTGTAAAAGTTTTTCAATTTTTTTTCTTCTAAAACACACAATTCACCTTCCCTCTTGTGTGTCGAGTCACATGTGTGGTAGTTCAATGTTTTTGTTGTAAGTAATTAGGGTATTATACTTCAAACTGCCCAAATAATTCTCCAATTATTGTAGAAAAGGTGAACATATTTATAAGGAATGTCAAATAAAGCGAACAAAAAGAAATGTTACAATTTTTAGAGCCTCAGTTGATTCATTTATTCCTAAACAATTCAGCCTATCCACCACCAGTTCAACAAAATACTTTCAGTACTACTTCAATGGTGGCCTCTGAAATGGTTTAACAAATGATCGTTTCCACATTCTCTGCTTTAGGATTCTCAGTTAAATCATTTTCCTCTTGGTACTTTGATTTTGGGGCTTCCAACCAAATGACCAACAATTCCCAACCTCTTACTAATATAAAAATATTTTGGAAATCTCAAGATACATGTTGTTGATGGAAATCAATT